TGCATTGCTTAGTTCATTTAGCATATATTCATTTAATATCTAGCATGTACCAGTCACTGGAGATAAAGGTATAAGTAAGATACAGACCTTCCATCACATGGTCTGGCTGAGATAGAATTAAAGGAAGAGAGTAGACAGGTATGAATGCTTCTCAAGCTTGGCTTGACTCTAGAATCACCTGGGGACTCTAAAAATTCTAATCAGTAAGGTGACCAAGCATTCCAGTTTGCTCAGGATGGAGAGGCTTTCCAGGATGTGGACTGATGTCTAGGCTGTACAGCAGACCAAGGCTTCACTTGGCTTCACAAGGCTCCACTGTGCACCTGAGGTTGAGAACTGCTGGATTAGGAGGAGATTAGAACATGTTTGACTCTTGAGCTCAAAAAAGACACTGGGCAAATGAGAATGTGAATGTGAATGTGAATGTGGTTACTTGAATAGACATATAGAAAATGAATACCTAGCTAACTAGGTAAAACAGGTGTAGAGTCTGACTTGGGGGGGGGCAGGTTTTAGTATATTATACTTCCATATTAGAGTGACCCAAGACTGTTTAAGTCACAGCTTTCCAAACCATCCCCAAATCCAGAGGACAAGGAGATTAATTGGGACAGAACAGATTCAACAAATTGCCCAGGACAGTTGATGACTATAGCACTCACAGCCACCCTTCTTTGCTCTGTTAAGTAGATGAATTTCTGTGTTCAATTATGTTTGAAAAACAAAAAGTTTTAATGCTGCTAATCTAGGTCAGATTGCACCTTTTATAGATATTATGGGGTTTACTTTCATTTGAAGTTCTATAATGATCAACACTGTAAATTATGTATTCTCTATAAGGTGACAAAATGAAATGTTTACCTTTATAGTTTTATTTTTTTATTGAATATTTTCATCCTTTTCACTCTTACACTTTATAGTAATCATAAAATGCAAAATTTGAACTGAGCAAGTGAAAATAAGACTAAATATATGTATATCTATTTTATATAAATAATGTTTTTAAATGTATATTTATTTTTATAAATATGTATTTATATAAATTTTGTCACTATAATATCTATTTTACCTATAATCTATAATAGCCTCTAAATAATCTATGATCTATAAGTAAATATATTTAAATCTCTGTATAAAAGATATTGTAATATACAAAATATATATAAAAGTATATATATTATTCATAGATCTTAATTTAGATGTGGCTGTATAATAATATATTTTAATTCAAATTTACTTACCTATTCCATGGTGAAATTTTCATAGGTACTCTATTTCATTCTGGTTTGAATGATGCTGAAATGTGTCTAACTCCTTTTGTTTGACAAAACTGCCTTACATAATGCAGTTATGTAAGCAAATATTCAGCTGTGTCCTAAGCAGTGTTATTAGCAAAACTGGTAAGATAGAGAGTTAGAATTCCTAGTAAGTCAAAATAAGAAAATTTCCTTGTAAAATGGACTCCTAGTCCATGAGAGAAGCATCCTTTTTTTCTTTCAGTCACACTCAGGGAACCTGAAGAGTGAATTCAGTTACCATTGTCCCTTGACGTTGTCGCCCTCCACATTTCATGCACCTTAAATAGAGGTACCTTCTAAATCTCCAAGGAGTATCTTGCCTACCTGGCAAATCCAAGTCAGTGGTAGAAAATATGTTCTGAGAACTGATCTTTGGTAGAACAAACACTGTTGGCCTTTTCTTGTTTATTTTCATACTTCTTTGTTAAATACTGTATAAAGTGAAGTTCTCTTTCCAAATCTTTCCCGACCTTTCACTGTGGGTTCATCGCTTGGTTTTCTGTGGGTAGTTGCTAAGGTAAACTTCTCTTCTAAAACTGCCACTGTGGCCAGTAGCCACACCCTCCTCTGACCTGATGACAAAGGGTAGAACAAACATCTGTGGCAGTGGTTTCAATGTTGGCAGACTGTTTACACTGGAGATTGTCTCCTGGCATGTTTTACTTTTGCCAGGGTTAATGCTTTGTAATCTTTTAAGACTGCTTTTTGCAGTGTTAGCCATGAAATGAGAATAATTTCCCCATCATTGGGGGAACCAAAATGGCATTCTAGGCGGCTGAGTAAGGCTGACCTCATCACTTCTTGATGTATCGCTGATCTCTGCACTTTGGAATGCTTCAAAATTTGAGGCTGATAAAACTATAGCTCTCTTTAGTCTAGAAATGTCACACACTGAAACACTTTCTGAATGCTTCCCACAAAGCCTACATTCAGAAAGGCAAAGAATTGTGCATTTTAACAATTCTTTGTGTATCCTGATATAATGAGAATTTTTTGTTTCAGAAAGTACTAGCAGTGGGAATGCATATTAGAATATTAAGTGTGATGTCAGTTGCCTGTGAAATGACAACTCATTAGATATCTTATTTTCTAAAATAGTAGTAAATTGAATAATTGTAATGAAATGCAAACCTAATGAGAAATCTCCATGATAAAAGTTTTTAACATGTAAACATAACCACCCCAAAAACACCCTATCACCAGGACAGAGTTCACTTATTTATTTAAAAGTAAGGGAGCACCTGTTAGGGGACAGGCAGATGTGACATGTGTTTTTATATGCTTAAAACCCAGCTGGGAACACAGACAAGTAATCAAAAAACTAATAATTGAAGTTTTACTATTGATACTAAAGGAGACAACTAACTTAGTGTGGAGATGGAGGTTAGCCAAGGTTGCCTGGATAAAGTGACATCGAACCATGTACACTTGCCTAGGTTGTGCACTGCACATTTGTACTTAGAGGCTCTGTAAAGTCAGGCCTTCATGAAGTTTAGGAGTGAGCTAAACCAGAAGCAGGGGATACTGAAGTGGAAGGCAAATGAAAGGAATGAAGGAAGGGAGAGGAAAGATTATCCCTGTTTAAGGAAACTGCATGTGAAAAGGCTTGGAAGCAAGAGAGGATGTGGTGCCTTAGCTGAGAGGAACTAAAGGAAATTCTGTGGCTATTGTATAGGCCGTGAGCAGGGCGTGGTATTAAATGTGAGTCCTGAACACCAGGGCTTTGTAAATCAAGGACATGGTAACCCCTTCAAGTATTTTAGGCCAGGAAGTAGTATAATCAGTCGCGCATGGTAGAAATAACCCTGGCTGTCTCACTACTGTGTGGCGATCAGGTTAGAGGGGGGGCAAGACTGATGCAGGAAGACCTATTGGAAGTCAATTTGCAATAAACAAGACAGATAATGAGTTCTAAACTGACCTGGTGGAGAGAATTTGGTGGAATGAATGGCTTTGAGAAAAGTTTGGAAAATGGAAGTTATCAAGATTGGTAGAAATTGGACAAGGCCAGAGTTAGGGAAATCAGTGAAGATGCTGAGAAGTATTGATAGATCATTGGATAGGTTGTGGTTCCATTCACTCAGATTTGAAACTCAGAGGAAGATCAGAATTTACGGGGCAGAGAGAGAGTTTAAGTGTCTATGGCATTTCCAAAGGGAGATACCTACTAGGAAATTAGATGCAGAAGTTAGTGAGGGATCAGGCCAGAAATACAGACTTGTAATCAACTGTATAAATATGAGGCTGGAAGTCATAGGGGAGGTGACTCACTCAGGTAGTTTGGAAGCAAGCAAACAAAGCTCCTAAATAAAAGTGGTTTAAACTGGTTCTTGTTTTTCTATTTCACAATGAAAAGTGCAGATGTAGGAAGTCCAGACTGATTAGAAGACTACAGAATATGAACAGGAACCCAGCTCCTTCTGTGTTTCTGCCCAGCCCACAGCAATAACGTCTACATTCAGGGTTCCCTGCTAAGGTAACCAATGGTGTCAGTTTGTCCAGAACTAAAAGAGTTCCCAAGACATAGGAATTTCCATTTTATGGCATCCTGAGTGGCCCAGGGGGTAAGTCTCAGCACTATTGCCACTACTGCCTGAGTTCGATCCCCAACTAGGAAACTAACCCATATCTGGTGCAACAGACCTCTCCTGTCTCTCCCACTGCTCCCCTTAGCAGTGTATTTCAGTAAATCCACCTGTTCTGCTCTCCAGTCTATCTCTGGTGAATCCTTACACTCCCCACACCACTGGTCTATACCCCAGTTCTACACAAAAATAAAAAAGTTTAAAACCAGGAATTTCCCAGGCTAACTGGGATGAATTGGTGACCCAGGTTACCTCCTGGTTTTAAGATGATCACTTCAACTCCAGCCCATTGCGTTGACACTTCAGACTGAAGGAAGGATGAAGAGAGGCCAAAGCAACATGCCAACTGAGCAAGCCCTTCTTTTCTTCTAAGAGTTAGTGAACTGTATTTATTTATTCCTCTTCCAGCAAGATTAATACTCCATTTGCAAAGAAATACTCTAATTGATGGAGAGTTTGTTAGCATATTTTTGCATTTCCAACTTCATTCAATTGGTGGCCATCAGAGAGCCTGTCTTGATATGTTGGGGTTAAAATTCTGAAATTGAAGATAAAAGTGAATTTTGACTACTTGAAGGGTGAAAATGCAGATGGGAAAAGCAAGCCCTTCTTTAAAGAGCCTTTTTTGGAGGTCTATCTAGAACTTACTCATTGGTCACCTTTACATGCAAGGTGGCATATTAATGGCGATGCTTTGGCTGAGTTCACTAGCAACCCCAATCAAATTATGGTTCTTTACAGAGGAAGAGGGAATGGATATTGGGTTCTCTAGAGAACCACTTAGCAATTCCTGCTACAGTGAGAATGATCATCAGAATAGAAATACCAGACCCAGAGCCAGGAAATGCAAACACTAAAGAGACACAGGGGTAGTGAATTCCGTAGGGAAAACTGAGAAGTGGCAGTTAGAAGGTGGGAGCAAACTGAGAGACAGTATCAAAGGATCTAGAGGAAGAACAAGGGAGAGTCAGAGATTAATGGTGCTTCTTTGTGACTTTCCAAACAAGAACTACCTCTAAGATGCCACAACCTTCCTGTGGAAATTCCCCTCACTCCCTAAGACCAAACACCACAGATGTGGGAAAAGTTGCTGAGTACATTATAGGAAGATGTTGGACGCTATTTGCTGCTCCTTCTCACACTTCATCCTTCTCCCAGGATCAGGTGAGACATTACTAACCAATGGCGACACTCTAGTCAAGAAGACTGCACTGGGCCTCATACTTTTCTTCTATTTTAATCCTAACTGGCACCAAGAAAAAAACTTTCCCAGGTATAATCAATCAGCCAGGTCCTTTCTGTCCCCACTTCTTACTACAGAAGTTCTGCAGTTATAGGTAAAGTTCTAATTCCATTGGTGACAGGAGCAAATTCTTACGTATAAATGAATCCTACAGAAACTGAAAAGTCAATTTCCAATTCAGGAGAAGGGGTTTACTCTGCCCACAGCCCTGTGTGCTGGGGTGGCTCTGAATCTCATATGTGGCAATTTTATGCTGCTCTTTAAATGCAGGTTTTCCTTTTTCTTTTCATCAAGGCTATCTTTGGAATGTTCCCCCAGATGAAAACCTTCTTCCTGTACTATAGAAGTTTTCATTCTGGGAGGGGTTTGTTACCACTTGGGACCAAAAATAGGACAGCAAATGCTAGTCAGTTCTTCTCAATTAGAGATCATTTTGCCCAGCAAATTCAGAAGTGGAACCAGCCTATTGAGTTGTTCTATAAACCAACAACCTCAGGACATTGATTTCATGGGGGATTTAAATTTAAGCTCATACCTATTAAGTCTCCTTCTTCTCCTTAGTCATGAAAATTAACCAAAAGCCAAAGGTTTCTTGTGGTTTGAGTGAATGGAATGAGAAGTTTCTTGATCCAGTGTCATTATTAGGGCCCTCATATGACGAAAACTGGGAAGAAAAGAAGTCATTGCCATCAAAATTATTTACTGAAAAGGGATGAGCTTTGCAAAACCCTTAGACAGATATTTTTAAATTTAACAGGGAGATTGGGAGCCTGGCAAGCTTGTTTATGTTGGAGACTATGAATAATGTGGAGCACCCTGTTGTCTGTCAGCTAAAGGCCCAAATCCAGCATATAAGTGGGTGATCCATTAAGATGCACGTATAGTGCCTTCTGCTCAATATACAAGTTAGCCAATATTTATGGAGACCTGGGCTGAAACTTTTGGTTGTGCCTTATCCATTATGGGTCTCTGGGCTGCCAGAGTTGCCTTGAGGCTCAGTGGCTTTATAACCTTCATCTCCATGTTGTCCTACTCGCATGCTCAGCAGTATCTACAGAGGATATTTGATGGGGTCCTCTGAGCCCAAGATTGTGGACTTCTCTGTCTACTGTCACTTGTCAGAGTACAGGTGCAAATATTTTATTCTGTATCCATTGATTTTAACCATCAATTTGTTAACTTCCATGGGGTGGGGGGTGTACTACTGTGAATTATAAGATGTACCCTTCTTTTAGAAAATTTGACATGTTTAAAAATCTTTTAGATTCAAGGCAATGTAGTAAAAAAAATTAATCTGGTAAAAGTTAATCTGATTATTGTGTTATCAGCAGATATAGTATTTGTAGAAATACATACAAGGACTCTCATATACAAATATCCAGTCTTTCAGGATCTCAGTAAAAGGAAAAGGAGATAAAATTTGCTCTCATGCTTAGCAAGGTAAATACAATTGTGAAAAGGTGAATTAATTAGATAAACAAGCAAATATTTGGAGGCAACATGGTGTCAGGGAATAACATGGACTTTGAGCCAGATGTTGATTTACTGTCTGTGACCTTGTGCTGCTGAATTAACCTTCTTGCATCTGTTTCCTCATTTGTAAAGTGGTAATTTCCAAGTCATAGGAACATTTGTGAGAACTAAGAGTGAAGAACATATGTGCTTGCGCCTGCAGCACAACGAATGTTCATTCCTTTTGAATCCTTGTTTTGTAACAGATGATTTGAGATGAATTCTTGATATGTATATTCATTTTCATATGCTTAAAATTATGTTTCATGCAGTGATTTATTAAACAAACTACAGAAGCTAAGAATAAAGTTGGAAACATAAAACAGAAGGTGAGAATACTTTATGCAAGTCATGGAAATTTATGATTTTTCCTATTTATTTTCAGAACAGAACATTCTGTCAGAAGAAATACATAAATTTATAAATAATTGTGGATCTGATTAAGAAAAAAATCAGATATTAACAGTCCAAATATTTAATAGCCTTTTACATTTGAGGAATTTACATTACATTTATTAACTGCGAACACAATTATTTTTGAGAACAATTATGCCCATTACATTTTCTAAAATGTTCAGGAATTTGAATTTTTAATTTTTTGAAAGTCCTTGATGTGCAAAGAAAGCAAGACTTCTTCAAAAGCTGATGGTTTATACATAGTTGAAGCTGTAGTTCCATGGAGGTACCCTCTCTCCACAATAAGGATCTGGTTCTTCACTAAAGACTATAAAAATTTGCTAAATGGTTTGCATACATTTTTGTTCAGGCTGCTTCCATCTGCTTTTGGATCCTAGAGATGACTGATTAGGAGAGAACAGAGTTGGGCAATGGGATGGGAGACTGGGAAAGATTGATACCTAAAAAAAGATATGCCCCCAGCCATGCCACAGGCATTTGGGAGAAGGGATCCAGTTACAGGTGTTCAGAGGATCTTCTGTGAGTAGAAAGAAGTTGGTGTCAGAAGGGAAGAGCAAAGGGCAGCAGGTAGAACAAGCTAGAATCGGGGAGGTCCATGAGATGAAGAGGTGGGGTAAGCGTCAGAAAAACCAAGAGTTCGCCTCATGCCCTCAGGCAGTATGCTAAGGGCTTTTCTTTTGTTAGTTAAGCTTATTAAAAGGGCAAAGTTGATATTTTCACATCCCCACTTTATAATGAAGAAAGTGAGTCTCAGTATGAGTAGTTTGCCCCAAGTGACACGATTGTTGTTATTTTTCTCTCTCTTTTTTTTTAATGAAGTACAACAGTTTTACATCCTTGTTAAATTTTGACAGTTTAGGATTTCTCCCCTCAGCTGTGGTCACCATAGCTTTCTTACCATCCAAACACCCATAGAGACATGATTTTTAAGTGGTGTGATTTGAACCAACATCTGACCCACTTGGCTAACATTCTATAACCTCTTTCATTACCCAATCCAGGGACGAAGCAGTAAGGAGTTCAGATAATCTGGTGAGAGGATCCTCAACTCAGTTCAGGGAATGAATTTCATCCCTGGGAAGGAAACTGCCAAAAAGAAAGGAACTATCCTTATCTTAGATTTCAAGGTGGACTAAGAGGTGAACAAAATAAAGACATAGACAGCATTATCAGACCCAGCAGGCGATTCCAGCCAGGATCATCCTAAGGGTGAATATGCTGAAGTCCATGTTAGATGCTGATTAATCCTGGGTGACAGCCAGGACGGCTTAGCTGTGAGGAAATGAACTCCTGGGGGTGGGTGGCCAAGAGGAGCCCAGCACTGGAGGATAAAGGTATATGTTTCCCCACATTAAAGGTCAATTAAGGTGAAATGGATGAAAACTGTTCTCAAATCAGTATTAAAAATATTTTGCTGGTCTGATCACTGAACAAATATCAGCTGGGAAATAAGTAAATTCTGTGAAACAAATAAAGAAGGCAATGCAAATTTCTCATTATCTCTGGATGATTCCTCCCCCTGATGATATGAACCAAAATAATTAACAATTATATAAAGAATATTTTATACACATCCTTTCTTTAAGTTCTCACTACAACCCTGTAGATGAGTCATCTTTCACTTCAGCTTTACTTTCCAAAGTCAGAACAAAAGGTAAAAACTGGATACTATCTCAGGTGCCCTTGAAGTTTCCTTAAATGACACAGGGTACAATGTACACAGTTTTCTCTAGACGAACTATTTCCACATACAACACAGCAATTTTCCCTTTTTTGTGTTGAAATAGAATATATTTCATTTAGTGGCCATTTGTATGAAAACTTTATTTCATATGTGTATGTACATGGCAGAGGTGGGATTGTTTTCATTCAGTTTTTTCTTTTCTGAGTATATTGAGTAATTTCTCAATTTTTGAATATGTATGTCATAGGACACCACAGTTTTATTATTCCCATTTTACAGATAAAGAAACAGGCAGTGCATATGCAGGATAAAATTTTAAACCACATTATACTTTGCAAATCCTGAGGATGACCCACTACACTCCACAGTCACCCCAGCATGATTATCACACCTGAAGAGCAGTGCATCTGCTAGCTAACAGAATTACAGGAATGGTACAAAAGCCCTGTCATTCATGCCCTGGCCACTCTGCTGCAGCAGTGCCTAGGACTGAGACTACCACATAGTGCCTTGGTGATTAGAAGTCACAGATACATCGAGTTCTAGCTGTATAGATGTGTCCAGTGATTGAGTGTGACCTCAAAACTCAGTTCTTTCTGCATACCTTCACTAAAACAGAAAAACTTTTCTGTTGTTTGCTGAAGCCTGTACGTGATGAGAAAATGTCCTCAGACCCTGAGGCACGTGGAACCTTACCTTTTTGGCAGGGTGGATTAATTCGTGCTTTTGATTGGAAGTTTATGGTCCATTCTAGCCCTTTATAAAGATTTTATTAGTTCTAATAAATCAATTCAAGTTGCCTAATCAATGGTATTTGAAAAGGATCCTTTCCTCCACTCCTGTCACCAATACTGTTGCTAGTAAATCACCCCCAGGCCCTCTTCAAAGTGCATCATGGTCAATAACCCATTTCACATGTGATTTCTGCCATTCCTTACCTTTTCTTTATTTGCTTATATTTGTCTTAATATCACTAAAGTATTGTTTTCAGTTCTTATTGGTTTAAAAAGATGGGAAGTCAGCAGGAATGGTGGAGTTGGGACTTCAGGAAATCTTCCCCCCAGAAAACTCCCCTTAAAGGCAATGAACACACTGGAAACAATCATTAAAACCAACTTTTTAAGAACTTGAAATTAACCTGACTTACAGCATTTGAAAGCATTTAATCAAGAAAAATGACTATTAGTAAGAATAGTGAGATTTGTAGCATTTTAATTTCTCTTATTCCCATCCTGATCTTTGAATTCATATGGAAGTGCAGGAGACCCAGAATGGTCAAAAAAATCTTGGAAAAAAAAGATTGAAGTTTGAGAGTTCACTTTTTCCAATTTCAAAATTTACTACAAAACAAGACTGTGTGGAACAGGCATTAGGGAGAGATGTAGAGTAATGGAATAGAATTGAGGGTTTATTTCTAAACCCTTACAACTATGATTAATTTTAATTGATTTTCAAAAAGGATGTCATGACAATTTAATGGGCAAAAATTAACTAGATCTAAATGTAAGAACTAAAACTCTTAGAAGAAAATATAACCTTAAGTTAAGTTATGATTTCTTAGGTATGACACAAAAAGCATACAAAATCAAAGAAAAATAGAAAATTGGACTTAAACAAAAATAAAAATGTTTGTACTTCAAAGGGTACCATCAAGAAAAGGAAAAGAAAGCTAACAGAATGGGGAAAATATTTGCAAACCACGTATGTAGTAAGATCTTGTAATCCATTTTTTAATGGGTAAAGGACTTAAATAGATATTTCCCCAAAGTAAATGTACAAATGGTCAATAAGCACATAAAAAATGCTCTAAACCATCTAAGTCATTAAGAAAAGCAAATCAAACACACAATTAAATACCACTCCACATCTACTGGGAAGTCTACAATTTTAATAAAAAGATGAACAGTAACAAGTGTTAGTAAACATATGGAGAAATTGGAGTTCTCCTAGATTGTTACTTGACATGTTAATGGTCTTGCCAATGTAAAATACAGATTGGCAGCTCCTCAAAAAGTAAAATAGAGTTACCATATGACCTGACAATACCACTCCTAGACATACCTATGAAAACTGAAACTTAACATAAAAACTTGTACACAAATGTTTATAGTAACATTACTAACTCAAAACAAACATTTAGAGACAGCATTTGAAACAACCCAAATATCCATCAGCTGATGAGTGGGTAAATACTATGTAGTATATCAATCAAGTAGAATATTAGTCAACTTCAAAAATAGAATGCATCTCTGATACATGCTACAACATGATGAACATTGAAAACATTATGGTTAGGGCCTCGTTGCTGGCCTAGAGGTTAAGTCTCAGCCTCGTCACCACTATGGCCTGAGTTTGATCCCCGGCCAAGGAGCTACCCCACACAAGGTGCAGCAGACCTCTCCTGTCTTGCCCACTGCTCCTCTTAGCAGTGTATTTCAGTAGTTCCACCTGTTCTGCTCCCCACTCTGCCTCTGTTGAATCCTCTCACACACACACTCCCACCTCTGACGTACATCCCAGTTATTCTATATGCAAATAAATAAATAAAATAAGAAAGAAGGCATTATGCTAAGTGAAAGTAGCCAGTCACAAAAAAACTAGACATTATATGCATCCATTCATATTAAATTTCCAGGACAGGCAAATCCATATAGACAGAAAATAGATTCATGGTTTCTAGAGGACAGGGGGAGAGAGAAAAGAAGAATGACTGTTAATGGGTATGGAATTTCCTCTCAGGGTAAAAAAAAAATGTTCTGGAAATGGATAGTGGTGACGGCTACACAACTTTGTGAATATAGTAAAAACCACTGAATTGTATTAAAAGGGTGAATTTTATTATATGTAAATTATGTCCAAGATTAACTTCCAGATGTTAGTCTCATGAGAATGAAATATTTTACACGCAAAGAAAATCTCATTAACTCATCTGTGGTAAAATAATTAATTCCCTTTACTAGAATAAGAAAGAACTTACTGAACTTGTTCTAAAATATCAATTTTATCGGTAATAATCCAGGGCAGCATACCACCCCTGATATTAGTATCTTCCTCACTTTTTCTTCACTTTCTAAAACTTCAAAATACACCATGTTCCATTTATTTCACATTAGTCCTAACAAAACCACCAAATACATTGACGCTGAAGCCTCAAGCAGGGATAACAAATAGCTTCAATCCAAGTGTCAGTTCAGATTGAGTGGGACACCATGTTTAGGATTCTAAGGCTATCTCCAAACTGGGCATAAAAAGAGACATAGTGATTAAGAAATTTTGCCCTGAACTTGGCAATATTAGCAGAGGTGGATAGAACTTAGGCTACTTATTTGATCTAGGAAAATACATTATTCTGCTGAGTGGCTGCAAAATCAGTTGCATAGATAAATCTTCAGACAGATTGTACAGTGCAGCTAATTAACACACTCACACATTATGACCTAGAAATGAATTTGACATGCAAAACATGCAAAGTCCCAATAGTTGAAGTAGCCAACATTTATGGCTGAAGTGTCAAAATCTTTCAATAAATACTACCAGTATTCATACTGCATAATATCAAAGTATTTAAATAATATGTGTCATATTGTGTGTGTTCTTAAGGGTTCTTAACATGAGAGCATTAATATATGCTTATAATAAAATCTAATATAGTAAGAGATTGTATTACGGGAGATTTTTTTATGGCATTCACATGAAAAATCAAGATAATTACCAGTAGATGGACTCTATGGTTCTGCTGTAATAGATGTTAAGTTTGAGTTTTATCTCCAAATAGAACTGCCTCCTTCCTCCTTTACATGCTATAGGGACCTGCTTTTTCTTCAATAGATTGAAGGCATCTAGAGAATGAGTTCCAATTCTCTGTCAGATATTATAAATCAGCAATTCTCATGTTGTGGCCCCAGATCAGCAGCATTCAGCATCACCTGGAACTTCTCAAAAATGCAGCCTTTTAGATATTTAGACCTATGAGATGAGAAGCTCTTCAAAATAACCTGCAAACTGAGTTTGAACAAGCCCTGCAGGTAACTCTGGCTGCAAGTTTGAAAGCCACTGCTATGAGTTGTTCCCTTCTAGAGTAGAGAAAGAAAGGAAGAAATGGGGAAAAAAGGAAAAGTTGGTGAAGTTCCCCAAAGAGAACTGGGTTTTGATTGGCCCCAAAAGTGACTTGTGATATGAAACGCCATAGCATACAGTGGGATTTTCTTTGTCTTTTCTCTTTTATACCCCATGTACCAACTCTCAGAAAAGGTTTGGAGTACTCTTGTTATCTTCCTCAGCCTACTGAAAGCCCCCTTCCTTTGGCTGTAGCAGAGAGTGGGGAGAGGAGGATGGTCTTATATAGTCCCTCGTGTTGCAATGAAGTGGCATTTTTATTCAAAAAAGGTTTGGCACCTAACCCTAGCTTAGGACTTCAAAACTCTATAGGCCTCACAGCTAGGAAATGCACATAAGCACTTAGAACAGCTCCAGGTTCATAGAGAGTGTTCATTTGGCATAGGAGGTAATAGTGTTGGTAGCAGTTACTTCAAGGGCCAGATTTCTCCAAAAGTTGATAATCCAAAGGCAGTTGCTATTTGCACACACTGCAGCCCACTGGGCAGTTGCTATGTTAAAAGAGTGCCAGCTGGAAATAGATCTTGATCTTGAAAACCTCTGTAGGCCAGAAAGGCTCCCT